AACCAATTTTATCATTTAATAATAATGACCCTAACAAACATTTTAATTTTCCCCTGTCTGATCTTTATCAAAAAAAATGAGTTAGTACTAAATACACGCCAGAATATTTATAATTATAGACAAATTTGGCTATTAAGAGTACTTTACGACTTTACGAACCTCAACAACCAATTTCTTTTATCGCTTTTAAAGTTTTCGATCATTTGCTGCAACACATAAAAGAAATGCCAACGTTATAAAGAAATATTTAATTGGAGGCGCCTTTTATGATCTGGATCTTTTTTTTCAACTTAAAATACAAATAGCTAGGTGGGGTCATTATTAATAATTTTTGTTTTATGTTTTATCTAATGTAATTGTCATTAATTTATTATTTTGTAATTTTTCTTTAAAAATTTCCAGACGTAAACATTTTTATTATTCGATACCCTCATGAGAAAACCTCGTATCTTCGAAATTCAAAATTGTACAGGTGACACAAAAACTTAATAACTTTTAAAGGTATTGGAATAAAAACAATTTTTTTGGAATTACGTTCCGGACTATGATATAATCATGACGATATATTGCATTTTTGAAAATATAATGAAATACAAATTAACCCATTTGTTTCCATTGCACTCACTTGGGTACAGCTTTCAAATTTCATCACTAGTGACATTTATCCACATACTTTGATTTTCTTTTCATTTATCGCTTAAAAGTTAAAGAAACTCCACATGGTAGACATTTGGTATATTCAAAAAATCAACTTGTGCCCTTTACACGGAAGAGGTCGCTGTTGGTAATTCACAAGCCGACCGTTGATTTTGTAAACAAAATCGAAAGTGGTTTGATGATATTTGTGCTCAAATTTCTGTTAGAAAAAATTATTAATTTAGGATTCTGCTATCATATACACATTGTCAGGTATGTATTCAAGGGTAATAAATATATGGCAGAGTTAGATTTTACTTTACTTAGTTGTATAGTAGCATACTAGGTTGATGTACTCATATGAGTATACTGGGCACATACGTGGTCCAACAATTATTGTGGTTTGTTTTGTTGTAGGTCGATTGATAAGATGAATCCTGATGACTTTTCACCTCTAAGTTGTGCATCTTTCTATAGTAGGCGTTACAAAAGACTTGAAACTGCGTTTGATGATGTTGCCAGATCAAGTACCTCCAGATGTGGACACAAACCGATGAAGAAAATATCGACGAAGATGAATGTGATACCCCATATTTTCCAACTGACGTACCTAAGGAAGTTGAGGTCCATTATGAGAGTGACGATGAAGATATTCCATTGTCTGAACTTGTAACTGGAGCTAGTGAGAAATCTTCAAATCCACAAAAAAAAAACAAAAACAGACAAAGAACCTGAGTCTACATGGAGTGAATATATAATAAACCTGGAAATGAACGAAACTAATGAGTATAATGATCGTTTACATGATTTGAAAGAGTTCACACATGATAAAATTCCTGTACAAACGTTCGAGTGACTCTTCAATAAAGACATTTTTAAGCATATTTCAGAGCAGTCAATGTTATATGCTGCCCAAAAAAATGATCACATATTTTCGGTAACTGAGGACGAGATCATGGTCTTCTTAGGAATTTTGATGTTTAGTGGTTATC